CTTGGGATTGTTTTTTGAACAATCTTTGAATTTTTTTTTAACCATTCTCTTTATAGAGTGTAGTAGACAATCTTGGGATTGTCTTTGGAATCTTTGAATTTTTTTTCAACCATTTTACAAGATAGTTTACGTTATTTACGTGTTACCATATTGAATTAGTGACAATTGTGTCATTTTTCATCAGGAAAGACTTCAAGGGATAGAAAAACGATAACAATATCAAATGTGTCATAAGTCATATATATGAGATTTTTATTTAAATCTTTCCTAATTTTATAGTCATAAATAACCATAATTAGTAAGATTTAATTTTGTAACTATAATTATAATTAGGGAATATCAATTGGGGCAATTGAAAGAAAATGATATAAATTCAAAATAATTGCAAAGAGGTGGAAGTACAAGATTTAGTTGCACAATCTAATACATAAATTGTTTGTACTTCCATGACATTGCAATTATTTTGTATTGATACCATTTTTTTTATTTGCAATTCTCCCATATCAATTTGAGTTTTTTGATCATTTACAATGTTTTTTTGGGTTATTAAAAAAGTGAATGAGACCTTTTTATTATATAAGTTTAATATGTGAGACTAAAAACCTTGAAATAATTGTTGTTTTTTAACTGAAAAATATTTGCTAAATAAAAAATAAAAAACTGAAAAATAATGGAGGATTTAAACAGAAAAATGACATTGTTCAAAACAAACAAATAAATAAAATAAAAAATTCATATAATTTAATTGCTTATTAGAATTTCAATTTGGAAATTAATCATTATCAATCAATGAACCCCTAATAAATATCTCAAAACTCTATTAGGATTTTAGCCCTTTTTATGGTTTGAGGTAATTCTATTTCCACATACTGATTCCTTTCAATACACATATTTAATCACATCTTCTCAATAAACATATTATAAAATTATAAATTCTTAGTGTACGGGGAGCAAATATTCCGGCAAGCCCGTACTCTTTTCTTCCGAGCTCCGTTACTGTCCGACCACCTGCGAGCAAATAACGATGAGCTACCCGGCGGTGTGTGGCCGGAAAACCCCTCCGACGATCAAGATAGAACACACACACAGGGGATAGATCGAGAGAAGGGAGAGTGTTGAGTGTTTAGTGTATGTCTCACCAAATGTTCATCTGTCCTCGTATGGGGGGCGCAGTCATGCTTATATACCTTCTGCACCCCAAATCTACTCCCAGTGATCTCTCAACACGTGGCACTGCTATTCCATCTGTCAGCATAAACCTTGCTGAGCACCACCTAACCCAACTGCTTGTCGATGCTCCTGGGAGCTCGGCAGCTGGGCAGTATCATCTCGGCCATCGTCTGCCATGCTGCGCTTCATGCCCAAGTACTCCAACAGCTAAGCTCAGATGAGGACCGGACTCGGCGGCATCTCAGCAAAGCCGAGCTCGGGACTACTTACACTTGTCTGCGATCGACCTACCTGCCGAGCAAACAGGTACCTCGATCCAACCTTGCCTTTCCTGGCGATGGACTTTTCACCTGACCGGCTTCGCAACCACGGATCCTTGCAGCTCGGTCAATCAACGTGCTGCCTTAACCGAGCAGCTTTCAACAAGGCCGGGCCACACAACTTGGCCCAACACCTGTTCGGCCCAAATCTGTCTGGCACAACACTGTCCGGCCCAACTCTGTCCGGCCCAGATCTGTCCGGCACAAAATCCATATCATTAATCTCCCTCTCACTTAGTACACATCTTTATATTCCAATATTACTCTCATTTGCAATTTTAAAACCCTAAGGCTATGTTTGGTTTCATTGTTTGAATCAATTTTTTAAAAATTTTTTGAGAAAATTATAAATTAATTTGACAAAAATAAATACCAAAAAAGTATTTTTAAATTTTTAATTTTTTTTGGTCCTAGAAAGATAAAACCATATTGAAATGAAATTTTTTTATTTATTTATTTTTGAAAACATATTCTAAAACTAGATTAAACATAGTCTATTTATTTATTTTTTTAATTCACCCATTCCTCCTTTATTGCCGTTGCCACCACTTTCAATACTTCATTGCCACCACCACTGCCACTTCTAGCTCATCCCCCTCCATCCTAGATCTTGACAATCAGCCTTTGAGTGATTCGTTGTGGAAGACTTGTGGGAGTGTATGATTCATGGTGAAAAGTGATCGTAGGCGAAGAGGGAAAGGGGTGATAAGGGGGGGTGGCGGATGAGAGAGGTGGAGCTGGCGATAGCAAAATGATTGTGATGTTTTAGAATTAGGATTTGAGTAGAAGAAAATGAGGGCATTATAGTATTTTTATTCTAAGAGAAAATTGTATTAATGAAAATTTTCATTAAGTGTGTGAACTGAGGAGAATTGGTGTGTGGAAATATAATTACCCCATGGTTTGGGAACTTTGAAATTCAAATTGGACTTGATCCTAGGGTTTTGTTGATTTTTGTTAAAAACTTTACTAGGGTTTTCTATTAGGTGGCTAGGTTTTCAATTCTTATTTTACTTCTTTGTGCGGCCTAAGACCCATTCAAAATTTTTCATTCAAACTATTCATTGTAAGGGTTTTGCATGTATATAAATTTCTAAACTTTGATCATTTATATTCAAATTCAATTTGGGTTTCTTCTCTTTTCTTTGATAAGATTTGGTTTTAGGTTAAATACTCAATCAATTACGCTCTAGAAAATAACATCGTAGTCAGCTTTGCTGGTTCTTCATTGCCAACATATGCACATAATTAGTCTAAATTCAAAGACTCATCTGCGTTTTCTTGATTATATTCAGGTTTGCTGGCGTTTTCTTGATTATATTCAGGTTTGCTGATTCTTCATTGCCATTTATATGCATGTATTTGATTCTGGGTCAAACACTTTTCTGGGTATTCTTTTTTTTTTTTTTTTTTGAATCGATAAAAAAAGAAACTTTATTGATGAAAGAGAAAAGCACAAGGTATAAAACAAAATACATCAATAAAGAGAGGAAGGTGCAAAAGCATCACGATGAGCTAAAACATCCCAACTATATTGACACCAAAAAGTCCAACCTATCATTTGCGAGCACCCCCAAGTTGGTGAGCAACCAACCAAACAAACAGAAAAACCACCACTACATCAATAGCACAGTATGGCAGCCCAAACCTATCAGCATAGTAGCCCACAGTTGAGCAAAGCAGTCCAACAAAATAAGACCTGAACTAGGACTTGCATCCAGCTGCTACCTGACAGCATAGTAATCTACTGCTTGCAGCAAGGCCAACAGTAAAGCAAAGGGGACAGTAGAGTAAGACGAACATAATCTGAAACAAAAAACAAGGCCAACAACAGAGGAAACCTGACAGCAGTGCAAACCTAGTGAACAAAAACCTACCAGTCACACTGTAGACAACTTCGAACTTAATGTATATTAAACACAAACTCATTCACTATGTATCCTTGCCCAATTGAGTGAGTTTTTAGCCAAAGGGTCACTTTGACTTTAATAAGCTTACAGATATCTTCACAGATAGGTTGCAGCCCATTGAACAAAAATAATCATTCCTGCATTTCCAGAGGGACCATTCCTGTTTTTCTGGGTAATTACTCTCTTAATGTTCTTTTAATCAATTGTACATTCAAGTTTGTTTATTCTTCATTGCCAATTTCCCATTGAGTTACTCTTTAATTTTTCATTGGGGTTTCATTGAATTTGATGGATACAAGTGTTATATCTGCCTAAACATCAATCTTAAAGAACAAATCTGCTACAATGAGTTATTCTGATCCTCCACCACCTCCTCTTTTATGCCATAATCTTTTGCTGGTGGTAATGTTGGTGGCTTCTGGCCTAAAATTTCAATGAGCAATGATGAATGGGACTCAATTTCACCATTTGAGTATGCACATCCACTTAAAAGACCAAAAATATCTAGAAACAACCAACCAAAATTTGTGCCTTTTCCGCCCATGAATCCAAGAATGAACATGATGAATCCGCTGGTGAATAGAGGAATAGGCCATATCTTTTACAAAACCCGCGTGTGCTTGAAATTTTTGGAGGGTAGTTGTTGGAATGGGGAGCATTGTTCCTTTGCACATGGCACTGAAGATTTACGAGAACCTCCACTCAATTGGAAAGAAATTGTAGGTAAGTGTGAAAAGGATGGACAGGGAACTAGAACGAGGATCAGAGAATAATACATAGGATGAGAATTTGCAAGTTGTTTTACAATAGCGAAGAATGTACCTATGGGGACAAGTGCAATTTTCTTCATGAAGATCCATCAAAATTTAAGAATGAGACGGGGAGGTCTTGGGATTTCTGCTTTAGACATTGGAACGACTGGACTGATGATGGTGCATAGAAGTGGGCCTGATCAACCTAAAGTTAATAAGCATGCTAATGGCAACGCAATTGTTGATGCTTTTGGATTTGATATGAAACCTACATATTGGAAAACAAAGCTCTATATTAAGTGGGATCATAGGTCATTGTCCCTTTGGCGAGAGATGCCAATTTGCTCATGGGCTATATCACAAGTTGTTTTACAATAGCGAAGAATGTACCTATATCAGTATTGCATTGATTTATTAATAGCACAGTTGTTCTCTTTTGAGGATGTTTTGTCATTCAAATATCGATTTGTGTGATGCACTTTTAATGGGGTCACACCTCGTGCCTCTCGATTTCGCCCCTGGCCATGAGTTTGGAAAATTCTTGCTTCAAGCACAGGGGCGAAACCGAGAGGCGGAGTACACCTAGAAATACTTAGGATTGCACCCTTAAACATAACCACATGTGCAGGGAGAAAAATTGCATGCGCAAATGAGGGGCCGCACGTACGATTAGTTGATTCTAAAATAAAAGCACCTGCGAATGGCACATGTGGGAGGTGTGCACATGTAGCCAAGGGGCTCGCACGTGTGGAATGAGAGAGTCGCACGTGCAGGAATGTTTACATCAGTTTAAAATTTCTCTCTTCCCTTTTTTGAGTTGATTTTTTCCCATTTTCTCTTCATTCTAACTTACCTCTCTCTCTCTCTCTCTCTAAACTCATTTTTTCTATTTTATCTCTCTAGAAACCCACCCAACACCAAACTTCCCTCTAAGATCTAGCAAGATTCATCAAGAATTTGGTAGGGGTTCCTTATACCAAATCGAAGAGGGCGACAAGGGCGACATTTTCACCAACCGAATTGCATTTCCATCGATGTTGAATTTTGGGGTTTTCTATCATCTTCTTCTTAGAATTTGAAGTAGGGATTTGTTAGAGTTATATACATGTTTTTGCAATTCTAAAGTAGCTGTCATGCTAATTTCTTGAGTTTTGAGTTGGGGTTTGATTTATGATGTTCCTATGTGATTTAAAAAGGGTTTTTTCTCAAATTTTCTCCAAATCTCTCAATGTATGAACTATGAGAATGTTTTCAGATTCATGAGAAAAATCTTCAAAGTAAATGGAAAATCCTTTTTTTTTTTTTTATTATTTTTTAAATGTTGGATTGATAAAGAAATTGAGTTTGGTTATAGTTGTGAACCCCATTTGTGGAAAGTCTTTTAAAAAATGAGGGAAAATCCGAGTTTTGTGAAAATCCTAGATTTTGGAAATTTGGAAAGATGTTGTGATATTATGAAGTTATGCTTTGTAGAGTATCATTGTTGAGAAATGATAAAGAAATTATTATGTGTTTTACTTATTGTTGAAATCCCATGAAATTGAGGAAATTTGATGTTGAGAACTTGTGATTGATATACTGTTATATTGTCTTGGAAGATGGGAGTTGAAACTGATGATTTCAAATGTTGAGAAATTACTGATTTAGCAAGAAAAGACAATCCATGTTATAATTGTTATTCTTTATCTCTTCGAATATGTTGTATATATATATATATTAAGTAGAGATGTAGAATTTGATCACAATGAGAGATTGTGCGGGTGAAATGAGAAAATATTGAGACATTGAGAAATTTCAAAGCATTGATATAGAAATATATTGCATTGACATTTCATTTCATTATCATTGCTTTTCGAATTGGCATTGTTGAGATCATTTTTTTGGAAAAAGAAATTATTTTGTGAAACAAACTCTATTGTTGAATTGTTTTGGGGTAATCCGGTAATAAGTCCGAATAGGGTGTGTGGTTTTGAGAATTAAGTTGGCTTGAGGTCCTCAGTAAAAGTCCAGAAACCCGTGCGATAGGTTCCAAATTTCCTTCGGTTAAGAGCCAAAGAAGTGGCGATTGATAGTGCTTGATAGCCTACTTGCAGATACCAGCCTAGGGATTACCTGAGTCGTATTTATCACCCTTTTAATTATATATTAAAATCATTGAACTGATTATGTTTTTGAACAAGCATTGAGCATGAGATTTTTAAAAGAGAAGAAATATTTCTTGAGCATGGCATGGCATTTACATTCGTCTCATGAGATTGTATAAAATGTATACACTTCATTAATATTTCTCTATTGCATTTTATGCTCACTCCTAGTGGATTTGTTGCAGGGAAATATGTGATGATCTCGCCTAAGTGAACACATGGTGGATATTATGGAGCACGAGGCTCTTGTTTTGTTATTTTGTTTTTTTGACAAGCCAAGTGCTTAACATGTATGGGTGAGACCCACTTATTTCTAATCGGGCTTGAGCCTTTGAATTTGTAGCCCACAGGGGCATAGTTGTTTATATTAAATTTTCGATGAATAATTAATCATATATTGTAAATTCATGTTTCTAGAAGTGTAAATGTATATAAATATGTGAAATCCTTATATATCTTGGACATATGTTATGAATATATGCACATCTAATGAACTAAATAAGAATTATCTAATTATTCAATAGTGAAGGATTTTAAATGATGGAAATTTACTATGATTATTGAGTGAACTGGGTTCATCGTATGTTGTTTAGTTGGGGGCGTTACAATTTGGTATCAAAGCTTACCGGGTTTAAATACTTAGGGTTCGCGGAAAGTGGTTGTTACCACAATAGGTTCATTTCGCTAATTAGGAAATGTTCCGTGTTTTATGTGGTATGTAATAACATGCTTATGTAACTAAGTGGGAATGGGATCAAACGTTTTGGATATTATTTGCGCCTGTTAAATCTTTGAAGTCTAATTAGAAAGGCACTTGATCAATACTCATTCTAATAGGAATTCTTGGAATTTCGTGGGACAAATAGTATCTTAAGGGTGAAGTCCGTATGTGATTGTGTGACTAAGTGCTTATGTTGAATGAAATTAAGTATTTATAGGGAATGAAAATTCTTGTTGATTATTGTGATAGGACGTGTGAGACTCAGTGGGAAAAAGTTTACTTGGTGCTAAACTTGTGCTCATTTTTTATTAGGGTGTCTAGACGAGGGAGTGTATAATTTCCTTTTTCCACACATGAAAGATTGAGGAAACAATTTGTTGAGCTGTGCTATGAGGTTCACTTCAGAGTTGGTTGTAACAGAGGAGCTTCATTGCAATGAGTTTGAGAGGAGATTATGTGATGATATTCGGGGAATGGTAGCTGGTTCTTTGCATAGGAGCTATCGCAAACTTATTGAAGCGGTGACTCATGTGGAGGCCGTCGTTTTAGATATGAGGCGGAATAGAGAGGAGGCCATATTGGTGACTCCTACAATTTAGGGGTACAATAGACCTAGTAAGCAATAGAGGAGGAAAGCAAGGTTGCAGGCCCAATCAATACTTGTACCATCAAAACCATCTAGTCAGCTAAGATTGAGGGTGGTTGGGTGCTTACAGGAAGAGTGTAGCACTTCATACTTCTTGCTATAATGGAATTATATTTAACTCTTTGATTATCATAATTAACAACCTTAGTTGATATTTGAGTCTTGGTTGAGGCGTTACCATAATGGTTAAGCGAGATTGGATCAAAAACTCCAAATTCGAATAGTTGTTCCTGAGTAGTCTTCACTCTTTTATGATTTCTCTCTCCACACTTTGAATCTTGATGTTAGCTTAGAACCACTGGAAAGCTTATTTCTGGGGCTTCAATTTGGACACAAGAACAACCTAAAACGGAGTCCGGACGAGAGAGTTATGCCCATTCGCAGTTTATGAATTTGTGTTGTGTGCATAGTTCGCTCGAGCGCAATTTCATCACTCGAGATGTCCATAGACCTTTCCAGCTCTGTTTTTCAAAATTGTCTAAGATATTACAAGCCTTGATTCACTACTCGAGCACACTTTTGATCGCTATCAGTGGTCTGTTCGAGAAAGTATAATTACTAAGAGATTTCATTCATAGCTTGAGCGCAAGTTTGACCACTCGACCGGTCTGTTCGAGATCAACACTTTAAAAATCTATCTCATTTCTCACTCTGTCTTTTCTTTCTTTCCTCCATTTCCGAAAATCCTAACCTTTCAAGCTTGGATTTCATCTACATCCACTAAGAATCTTATCCTAGTTCCATTTACCAAATGTAGAGCATGGCGAAAGCTTCCTTTTAATCTGAGCAGATTGTGTTTTCGTTGAAGTCAGATTTTTGGGCTTTCTTCTCTTCTTGCTTAAGGTAGGAATTTCTTTGCTTCTCCACAATACTTTCATATAGATAGACGACTAGTATTTTTCTATTGCATAAAACATCATGTTGGAAGAGATTTCCTTGAAAAACATGTAGAGAAAAGTTAGGGTTTTGAAATAAAGAAGTTAAACTTATGATTTGTAGTAGATTATGGAAGTTTTGTGCCATTGTAACATGTTTATTTACTTTAAGGTAAAAAGCCCTCATTTTTATACAAACCATAGTCTTGAACTTTACTCTAAAGATGCAGTTTGTTTCAATTGGTCCTTAAATCATGAAATTGGGCTGATATGTAAAAGAAATGGATATGAATGTTGGTTGCAAGTTGTTGCAGGAATAACTATGGTAAAAATTAGTTCATGTCTTGTAAATTGGTAATTAGAATTGGCGTCATAAACTATGAGAAACACATGATATTAAAAGTGTTAAAGTAATTTGAATAAAAAGGAGTTGATATTGAAGTATGGAAATGTTGTGGTTAATCATATTCGTTTATGGAGATGAATTTATATTATTATTAAATGTGTAGAGGTTTTATCCTTGACTATCGGTGGAGGATAGTATTGATTGATTGTAGAAGGAATTATATGTGCAGTGTGTTGTTGGTATAATTCTATAAAATTGAAATGATTAATTGTATGTGGAATTGATGGATTAAAATGTTGGAAAGAGGGTCTGTTTTTTTCCAGCTTGTGACTGGTAAAGTGTGGCGCTTGATTGAGGTTCAACGTTCCTTTCGGAGTAGCGCCTAGTAAAGCATGTGGACTGTTGGGCTATATGGAGGTTTTTCTTTCCTTCCAGTTAGCCACTAGCAAAGCGTGGTGCTTGAGATAGGTTCCAATTTTCCTTCCGGAGTAGTGCCCGGTAAACTGTGTTGGAATGGCTTGACAAAGTCGGATGTTGGTATGTTGGTGATCATTGTTAGCTATGTGATTGTATCGCTATATGTGAACGTCGTAATTTTTAGTTAGAGGTTCAAAGTGTGTAATTGGAATACGTCTATAATGAATTGAACCATATTGCTTAGTTATATGAAACATGTCGGTGTGTGTGTATGTATGTGTGTGTGTGTGTGTGTGTGTGTGTTCAGGTGACGGGTGGTAGTGTAATTAATGTGTATGACGTGAGGAGGAGTACCTGATTAGTTAGCCTAAGATCTTTTTCTAAGGTAGAAGAGATTTAAGAAATTCTTTGAATAAATACTAATAAGATAAGAAGATAACGAATGGTTTTCTTTGAAATGTCAAGTGGGATTTTATGAAGAAAGCTTCTACCAATGTATTGTTATTTTGGATACAAAAGAACACATTATTTATTTACTTATCACGTGATAGCATTCATGATCACATATGTCTATTGGTTTTATTATTGAGAATCATTGTACATCCCTACTGGACCTTGTGTTCATCCCAACTGTTGAACCATTTTTCAGGTGTGCAATTATTACCTCGTTCGAGAGTTCAAGAAGTTACACTATTGTTGATTTAAGCTTTATTTCTCATCGATGGAATGTTAATGTATTGACTTTTTTTTTTAATGTAATTATTTAAAATTGTTGAAACTCGATATAAGCCTTAGGGCATTTGTTGCCCTTATTGTATTGGAATGTTTTGTCATTTTATTTGAGAGAGAACACTTTCTAGTCACTCATTTGTACTTATTATTTCCATACTGGTGCTATGTAATTGGACTTAAATAAGGGTATTGGTAATGTAGCCGTGTAATAAAATTTGGGGTGTTATAAGAAGCAGTCACCAGACCGTTAATAGACCAAACTTCGAACTAGCCACATAATAGGGGACCACCTACTTGCTTTAAGTGTAACCAATTAGGCCATATTAGACTTTGTTGCCCTCAGCGTGAGGTTTTCTTAGGGCCTTCAGAATCTAGTTAGACTCAGTCTGATCAAGAGTGGTGTCAGTATCAGAACCGAGTAGGTCAGGCTTCAAAGGCCTTGCGGGGGTCGACCTTTCAGTCATAGGGTAGAGCATTGCTCACTTGTTTTCGATGTGGAAATTTTCAGGTTATCTCGGGACTCGAGCAAACCTAATCTCTACAATCTAGATAGGAATAGGTAGAGACCAGTGGAGTGGTTTTGTTTTGTTATGTTGTTATCGTAAACAATGCATTGTTGGATGCTAAGGCCTCATGACTATTTGCTTACATATATATATATATACATATTTGTTTGTTTATTCAACGATTTGGGCATGTAATGAATTTTGAACTTTCGTATTATGGGAAATCGTTGTCGGGATTAGTAATTCCAAACGGCTTTTGTGTTTATTGATATGTTGAGTTTTGACATCATTTTAAGCATGGATTGGTTGTCATCCTATTGGGCCACTATAGATTGTTACTGTTAGAGAGTTACGGGGTGTCCCTCAGGTGGTGATTGTTTTTATTTCCTGGGGGACCGAGTTGATAGAGCCTTGTTGCCAGTGTATGATTCGCGTGGTCAGGACAAGCTTAGTCTTCTTCTTGCTACTTTCTTGGGTGTTAAAAGTGATGTGGTCCGAGTTGAGTTGCCGATGGTAGTTTGTGAATACCTGGACGTCTTTTCCTAGATCAAAAGATTTTAGACCTTAAAACCCTCTCTTTCAAAACGTTTTTGAAATAAAGTTTTTACCATGTTCCGAAGCTCGCATTTTGTCAAATGTTGCGCTTTTCGGTAAACCGAGCAAGGACAAAGTGGAAATGAATGAAAGAGAGATGAAATCTTTGAAAAATCTTTCAAAACACCTTGTCTAGGGGTTTGGAGTTGAAGAAAAGAGGAGCAGAGAGACGAAAACTAGTTTGGGAGAAGTTCGACATGAATCCAGAAAGGACCGAAACTGCGTGGCTTCACCGAAACGGGCATAACTCTTTGTACAAGAGGAATTTTGATGCAAGGTTGGCGCCATTGGAAAGCTCACTTCTAAGGATTCAATGTGGCCACATGGAAAACCAGAAAATCAGATGGCCAACCACTTAGGTGGTCAAAAGTGGTTCAGCATGAATCCGGGAAGGAGAGAAAAAGTCAAGCGGTCCTCGCTAAATCGGGCTTATTCATTTGCATACTTGGATTTAAGATATGAGGCCACCACCGTTGGAAAGATTACTTTTGGGGATTCATTTTTCACTCAAGAATCTCCTAAAGCCAAGTCCGGGTGGGGGAGACATGGTTGGTTGAAGTAGGGCAACAATCCGGTTGGACC